AGCTCTCGAGTGAAATTCTGAAGACCAGAACAGAAACTGAGGAGACAAAACAGCAGCGACCAAACAGTACCTAGTACAGGGTCTGTGTGGGGCCTCCTGGTCTTCATTCCTGAAGCAAAGAAGTCTCAGCCTCTTGGGAGACCAGCCCCATGCCTAACTGCTGAGTAATTCAGACTTTGAAGAGGGGGATGTGGTGGTGTCCCAAGGCTGCTGCTGCAGAAAAGAGGCCCGGTTAAGTCGGAGTAGCCCTGAAATCTCGTGGGCCTTCACACAGTGGCTGAAAATCTAGTATCACAATGGGATTCTTGTAGCTTCAGATCACGCTTTTCTTCAGGTGTATGAATCCAGGGGAGAACTCCCATTCTGGTGTGGGGAAATCAGTAAATCAGGACCCCAGTCCTGGCTCAGCTGCCTGCTCTCTGCATGTCCTAGCGCAAGTCATTTACACTTTCTGGGCCTCATTTCCAAACCTATAAAATGAGGGAGTTGGACTCAGTGACATTTGCAGCCCTCTGCAGGTCTCAATCCACGATTCTCAGATTCCTGCCTTCCTTCCTTCATTATATACACCTTTGTCTCCCCTCCCTCAGTTGCTTAATAATAATAATAACTAATGTTTATTAAAGGCTTTAAGGTTTACAAAATCTGAACTCACTTGATCCTCGTAATAAACCTATGAGGTAGGTCCTATTATCATCCTCAATTTACAGATGAGGAAATTGAGGCTTAGAGGTCAAGTGACTTGCCCAGGGCCACAAAGCTAGAAAGTTATCTGAGTCAGAATTTGAATTCTGGTCTAGCTGATTCCAAGTCCAAGGCCCTATCTATTCCCTTATTAGATTGTATATGTCAGAGGTGCCAGATATTGGCCTGAAACACAACTGAGTGGACTCAATTAGGAGATATTGAACAAAATAAACAAAAATAAAATAAAGCATAGATAATATTACATTTTAAAATGAAGTCAATATGCATCCTACAGGAATCCTTATGTATGGATGTTTCTATTTCATTTTGACAAAGAATGTCAATAATCTTTGGTGTAAATAATCTACAGTTTGGTTTCAGCAAACCTTTATTAAAGGCCTATTATCCTCCAAGTCCTGTGCTGGGCACTGGAGATACAGAAATTTAAAATGGCAGAAGTCTTGCCCTGAAGGAGCTCATAGTCTCTGGTGGGACAGGGAAAGGAGGGAGAGAAGAGGACCTAAGACATATGCACAGATAAGTATGACCCAAGCAAAGTAGAGCATGGTAGGGGCAAAGGAGAGATCCAAAGTCCTCTGGGGAAACCTGAGAAGGGAGAAGTCACTTTCTAGGTCAATCAAGGAAGGCTTCATGGTGGAAGTGGTTTCTGAGATGAGCCCTGAAGGAAGAGAAGGGTTGCAACTGATGCAGATAAGGCAAGACAGCATTCTAGACATAGGGGACAGCCTGGCTAAATGTATAGAAGCAGGAGAGGATAGGAGCTGTGGAAAAATAAAATGTCATCCAACTTGCTTGGAATATAGAGTTTGTGAAGGGGATTATTACATTATAAAATATAGCTGGAAAGCGCAGGTTACAGACAGATTGGGGAGAGCCTCAAATGTGTGCCTAAGAAGGCAATATGTAAGTTTTTTGAGCAGCGATTGACACGGTGAGAACTGAGGATTAGGAAGAGAATTTTAGCAACTGTGAGAAGGAGGAACTGGAGAGTGAAGAGATGAGAAGCAGGAAGACCAGTTAGGAGGCAGAAGAGTAATTCTAGTGACAACGGTTGGATGGCAAGGGTGGAGAGTTTGTGAATGAAGAGAAAGAGACCATTGAGGAAGGATCGGGTCTTGACAGTTGACTGAATGTCATGGAGGGTAGAGTCATAAATGTGGGCTACAGGATGTGGGAGAGGGAAGAGTAATAAATACCTCCCATACCTTCCAGGAGGAGATGGTGTCATTAACATAAATGAGAGATGTTGGAAGGATTTGTTGAGCTGTATGGTTAGTCATACTCAGTTTGGAACACTGGCGCTACATCCAGGTTGAAGAGACTGGGCAGGAGTGCAGCAGAAAGACTGAGTCTATAGATAAAGATTTGGGGAGTTATCTGCCCAGATTGGTGATTAAACCATGGGAGTCGTTGAGATCACCAAGGGAGAGAATTTAAAAAGAGAAAAGCCTTGGGGGACACCCACACTTAGGGAGAGGGAGGAGGAGAATGAAGCAGAGAAGGAGGCCGAGAAGGAGCAGTCAGACAGGTAGGATAACCCAGAGAAATCAGCGTCACAGAAACTAAGGGAGGAGATAGTATTCAAGGGGAGGGTGGTCAAAGCTTCAGGGAGGTCAGGAGAAATGAGGACCATAAGACTTAGCAATTAGGAAACCTGTGGTGACCTTAGAACAGTTTTGGTCCAAAGCCAGACTTCAAGGGGTTAAGGAGTGAGTGGGTGGTGAGGAAATGAAGGAAGCGAGTGTAGATAACTCTTTCCGGAGATTATCAGTGAAGGAAAACAGAGATATAGGATGGTAGTTTGAAGGGATGGGAGGGTCAAAAAAGAGGGGAGTTTTAACAATGGGGGAGGCCTGAGCTATTTTGTAGGCAGTAGAAAAGAGGCCAGTAGAAGAGAAATCAAAGACAAGAAAGATGTAACACCCATTGATTATAAAGTGGATGGAAATGTCCTAAATTGTAACTAGTTGTGGAAGGAAGAGGGGTAGAGGGGTAGAAGCCCCAGGCTGTGGGCTTCATATGAATAGAAAAGAGGAGGGGTTTTGGATCTTAGAGGACAAGAGATAGAAGTGACCTTAGATATCATCTAATTCAACCCTCCCATTTTATTTTTAAATTAATTTTTTTTTAATGAACAAAAATGAATTTTTTTTCCTCTTCCAAACCTCTTCTGTCCACTGGGGAAAAAAAAGAGAGAGAGAAAACCGTCAAAACAAATTCTTACCTAGTCAATCAAAACAAATTCCCAGACTGAACATGTCCAAAAATGTGTGTCTCCTATCTGTTTGGTCCACCATCTCTCCATCAGGGAGCAAGGAATTATGGTTGATCATTGCATTGATTGATCAGAGTTGTTAAGTCTTTCAGAGTTCCTTGATTTAACAATGTTGCTGTCATAGTATAAATTGCTCTCCTGGTTCTGCTCACTTCACTGTACCAACGCATATCAGTCTCCAGGGGCTTCTTTGAAACTGACTCCCTTGTATCATTTCTTAAAGCACAGCAGTATGCTGCTACACTCATATGCCATAATTTATTCAGCCATTCCTAAGTGATAGGCATCCCCTTGGTTTTCAGCTCTTTGCCACCATAAAAAGAGCTACTATAGGGCTTTTTCCTGCTGTTATTATAGTTTTATTTTATAATTGAAGAAACTGAAACAGACAGAAGTTATATGACTTGCCCAGGGTCACACAGCTAGTAAGTGACTGAGGTGGGATTTGAACTCAGGTCTTCCTGCTTTAGGCCTAACACTCTACCCACTGCACTACCTAGCCACTCAGGCCCATCATGGTTACTGGGTCAAAGTATGTGGGGGCATACCCCCAAAACTGTTTTCCAGAATGACTATACCAATTCACAGTTCCAATAGTGTGTTAACGTTCCTGCTTTCCTTCAGCCCCTCCAACATTTGTGATTTTCATTTCTGTCAACTTTGCCAATCTGATGGGTGTGAGACGGAACTAGAGTCATTTTAATTTGTACTTCTTTCATTATTAGTAATTTGGGGGATTTTTTCATATGGCTATGAAGAGTTTGGATTTCCTCTCTTGAGAACTGCCTCTGACCACTTAGCTGTTGGAGAATTGGCCCCCTCATTTGGTGTGGGGGGGGTGAGAAATCTAAGGCCTACAAAGGAGAAGTCAGCTGCCTGAGATCACACAGACAGTTTAATGGCAGAGGTGAGATGAGATAAGATGAGAACCCAGGTATATGGAAGTTCAGGAATGTCAGAGCCGGCTAGACTCTTAGCCAGGTATCCAATCCAACTCCTTTCATTGTAGAGAAGCAGAAACCGATGCCCAGAGATGACTAATAACCTGCTAGAAGGCCCAGCAAGAGCTAGCTTCAAAGGTAGGACTAGAAGCCAGGTCTTCTGAGTGCCCAACTGACCTCTGTCTAATGTAAGTCATCCCTCCAGGCATGCCAGGACTGAACAGAAATGGACCAGGCCAGGAGTGGCCTGCACCAGGATAGGGGAGTGAATGACCAGACCAGGATCCTCAGGAAAGGGGTCACAGTCATGCCTTTCTTCTTACTGAAGCTGGGGTTCGATGAAGTAAGGTTACTGCGAATCCCATGACCTGGTTTCCAGAATTAATTGTGGATGGATACAAAGGCCCAGGACCTAGTGAGATGAACAGAAAAGGGGTAAGTAAAAAGAGGGTAGTAAAGGAGGACTGGAGCGAAGAGAGACAACACATAAAATATTAGAGGTAAACAAGATGTCAAGACCACCTACATCCGCCTCCTCACTTTACAGAGGTGGGGAAACAGAGTCTCAAAGAAAGGGAATGACTTGCCTAAAGTCATACATGTAAATGGGACAGTCGTGACTTGAACCCAGGTCCCTGATTCCAAGATCAGGGTTCTTTCCACTATGTTCCCCTTCAGACAGAAATCTTGACACTAACAATTGACTGGAGCAGGCTTAGGCAAGATAGTGCAGAATGGCAGGGGGGGTGGGAAGGGAGCTAGTGAGAAACAAAGGGTAGGGAAGCAGTTTTCTGGGGCCCTGATGATTTAGGTGAAGCAGTGGGGGAAGGCAGGAAGCTCAGAGGCAGCAGAGCAGACAAAAAAGGAGAGATTTAAGTTTGGAAGGAGAGATTGGAGATTTTTGAAAAGATCCTCGCTATTAGAGTTGGGAGGCAAAAGACAGAGTTTGGCAGTGTGTCCCAGCAAGGCCCCTAGGCCAAAAGTGAAGGTATTTCAGATCAGCGACCACTCCCCACCCTCTCTCTCCTCCAGGCTTCTGGGGCCAGAAAACAGACATTAAAGGGGTGAAGGAGAAATCAGTCAGTTGGTCAAAAAGCATTTATTAAGCACTTTACTGCATGCCAGGCACTAAAATAAGCATTGGGAATTCCAATAAAGTCAAAAACATTGTTCCTCCCCAAATTGGGGAGACAGCCTGCAAATAACTATGTATGTACAAGATGTAGATGGTGTAGATGGAAGATAATTTTGGAAGAAAGGCATTAGCAGTGGGGAGGACCAGGAAAGGACTCTTGCAGAAGGTAGGATTTGAGCCGAGTTTTGAAGGAAGCCAAGAAAGCCAGGAAGTAGAGGTGAGGAGTGTCAGATGGGGAAAACAGCCAAGTAAGTCAGCATAGCTGGAGCCCGAAATGTAGAGGCATAAGAAGACTTGAACGGTAGTAATAGGTCAGATTGTGAAGGGCTTTAAATGCAAAACAGAAGAGTTTATATTTGATCCTAGAGATTATAGGGAGTCACTGGGATCTATTGAGAAGGGTAATGGGGGTGACCGACCCTTTAGGGAAATCACTTTGGTAGCTGAATAGAAGATAGATTGGAATAGGGTGAGGCTTAAGGCAGTGACACTAATTAGAAGGCTTTTGCAATAGTCTAGGTGCAGAAGGAAATGGTGACCTACTCCAGTATCTTTGCCAAGAGAACCCCAAATGGGGTCACAAAGAGTCAGACATAAGTGAAATGACAGAACAGTAGCAAAGCAATAGTCTAAGTGATAAGGGCTCAGAGTAGGGTAGTCGCTTTGTCAATAGAGAAGGGAGGACTTATATAAGAGATGCTGTGAAGGAAGAGGGAGGAGAAAGTAATCTGGGAAAGTAGAAATGACAAAATTTGTCAACTGATTGGAAACGTGGGATGAGTGAGAATGAGGAGTCAAGGGTAGTAACAAGAGGGCAGGACTGGGTTGTGGGACTGGGGAGATGGCAGTGCCCTTGATAGCAATAGGGAAGTTGGGAAGGGGGAGGTGGGGAGAAAGAAAATGAATTCTGTTTTACAAATGTTGATTTTGAGATGCCTTTGGGCCGTTCAGTTCAAGAGGTCCAAGAGGCAGTTGATGATATGTAACTAAAGTTTGGTAAGACTGGGAATGGATATATAGATCTGGGAATCTTCTGCATAGAGAAGGCAGTAGATCCCATGATGAGATCAACAACTGAGATAGTATGAGAGAAGAAAAGAGGACCCAGGGCAACATCATGGGAGACACCTACAGCCTTTGGACCTGATGTGGATGAAGATCTAGCAAAGGAGACTGAAAAGGAGTGGTCAGACAGGTAAGAGAACCAGGAGAGAGCAGTGTTATGAAAACCTAGGGGGGGAAAAAAACTAAAGAGAATATCTAGAAGAGAGAAATCTGAACTCTGTCCTGAGGGCATTTGCAATCCAGAGGTTATTTTCTGGTCCCTGGTAAAATAGGATACGCACACAGTGCACACTGGGTGAAATGATCTGTCACCACTCAGATGTTGCTTTATGTTCTATTTCCTTCCAGAGATAAGAAGCTCCCGCATACCACATCCAAAGTCTCGATAGTGCTCATGTTCACCGTGAAAGCCATGCAAGGGAGTAGGACTTTCCCTTGAAAGCACCAAGCTCAGTGCTACACTCCCACTCCAGCTACAGAGTTCCCTCTTGCACCAAATACCCAGAATCATAATGAAACACTGTCACGGTCCTACAGTCATATGCTTTGGAGAATAACAGATATCTTTTCCTATATCAAGTCAAGTCAGGTCAACAACCATTTATTAAGCACCTGCTATGTTCTAGGTACTGTGCTAAATGCCAAGGATGCAAAGAAAGGCAAAAATAATTCCTGCCCTCAAGGAGCTCACAGTCTAATGGGAGGGACAACATGTATATAACTATGTGTATGTAGGATATGTGTAGAGTAAACTGGAGGTAATCTGTAGAGGGAAGACACTAGCTTTAAGGGGGACCAGGAAAAGCTTCTTGTAGGTTGGTTTTAGCTGTTGGATTAGTTACGGGCTAGGTGGTATAATTTTCCTTCACATAGCTCCATCCTCTGCCTCTCTTGCTCTGGGAGCCTGACTGACTCTTTCTCTGGTAGAGGATCCTGGCTCTTTCTTCCTATGGTAGGAGCTTCCACCAAGAGCCCGGGCAGGAAAGAGTTCTCAGAACCACCATGGAGCCACTCGGCACCTGGGGAGAGATAGAGAAGGGTTAGCACCAGTCTCTTACCACTCATGGCCTTGCTACGATGGGCTCTACCTAAGCCATTCCCCCAGATCGCCAGTTGGAGCAAATTCGACATGTGGATCTTGCTTTTATTGGCTTTGATTTGAGTTTTATTTTCACTGAAACAAGTAGATGTGTTTATGTGGGCATTGCCCTAAAAAATAGTCGGTAATTTTGATCATTGCTTCACTCCCTGCTCATCCCAGGGCTACATGGCTTGGTTTGGAAATCTCTGCTTTGGACAAATCCCTTCCTCTTTCTAGAACCTCAGTTTGCTCTTCTGTAAAGTGAATGAGCTGGACAAAGTGACCCCTAAGTACAGCAATAGTATTCTAGGATTATCATTTATCACATATGTTGCAAAGAAGATTATTGCTTGGGCATGGTTGATATTAGATGGCCTCCAAGGACCTGCCCAGCTCTTCTGTCAGAGAGGGAGAAAGGACTCTGGTGCTTTCAGATTCCTACCCGCTCTCAGAGTTTATAAGGGAACAAAGAAAGGCAAGCTCTGGGCCTGGGTGTTTAAAATATTAAACAGGCAAACAAAAAAGAATTACGCTAAGGAAGGAGAGGTGAGGGACTCACTGTTTCTTGTAACTGGAGCATCACAGGGGAAGGACACTCAAACAGAAAGGTGAAGGGAGAAGGAGTGGGGATCTCAGGACTCTCACTTTTGTCTGGACCAGGCAAGAGGAGAGCAAAAAAAGCCAAAACAAAATTGTAAGGGTGGTAGATGTACAATAAAGTAAGCTGGAGACTAAGTGGTGATAAGGAGGAGATGGAGGAGGGGTGTTCAAAGAAGAAGGAGGAGCTGGGAAGGGGATCGCCTCAAGCAAAACAGACTACACCTTCGGAGAGCTGCTTCTAATTTTTGTTGTTGTTAAGGATAAGACTCAGTGATTTGAGTCTGGACAGAGAAGGGATGGGAAAGGGTGGAGAATAGAATTGAATTGTTCCAAAGTAATACAAATTTATAATTATCTCTTGTGATTCTTTTTTTTCTTTCAAAGCAGAAAAGAAAATAAGGTAGTGGTGGTGCTGGGGAGAAATATTATAACAGGATTTGATTGGGGGGGTAAAGCTTATTTGTCATAATTGAGAATGGAAATGGGATAAATTCACCCATAAAATGGAATGGAACAGCAGAATGGATTAAAAAAAAAAAGCCAAGTCCAACAATTCATGACAAGCAAGAAATGCACATAAAACATAAAGATTCATAGAGTTAAATGTGGAATTTATGAGACCTCTTATGCTTTGCCTAAATCCCCCAAAGTTGGAATGGCAATTATGATCTCAGATAAGGTAACAGTAAAAATAGATATGGTAAAGAGAGACAAGCAGGACAACCACATATGCTTAAAGCCTCTATAGACAATGAAACACTCTCAGTGTTGAATATGAACAGATGTTAACCCAGGACATCATGGTTGTCCACCTGACCACCAACTGAAGCTGCTTAAACTTGTGGGACAAATGTATAGATTCACGGGTTCACATTGTGATGAAGAGTGATAAAGAAGTCATCGACCTGATACCAGGATTCGATGACTTTAGCCAACTCTAGATCTGGTTATGGAAGATGCCATTGAGGTTGAGATCTCACCTGAAGGAAGGAGGCTCAGCAACCTTGATCAGATTTGCAATATAGAAATAATATAACCATGCTGATTCCTGGAGGGGAAGAATTTGAAATATGAATGTGTGCTCTTTACTGTGTGAATGACTTAAAAAATACGTGTGTGTGTGTGTGTGTGTGTGCATATATACTATCAAATGGAAAGCTTTAGTTGCCTCCTCTATAAAATGAGTAGATTCAACAAGATGACTTCTGGGTTCTCTGCCAATAAAGAATGGGATGATCCTATCGTAGGACCTGGTACCAGCCCCACTCCTCAACTTCTAGATGAAGTTCCCCAGAGGGCAGTACCCCCAGGCTCAAGGTATTCTGTGGTTTTGTGCTCCCTCAAACTCACAAGCTCCACCAATATAGTTATCTTAGTCTGCCAGAATATATGATCAGTTCAAAACAAAAGTACTCATGAAATGGCAGAGTAAAAACAAAAAAGTAACAGCAAAATATTTCCCCCACAAACATGAGAGGGAGGCATCCTACCACAAACACACACACACACACACACACACACACACACACACAACATAAAGTGAGAAAAGTGAACTCAGGTCAGAGACACAAATAGAGAGGCACAGACGCAGGGAACACATGTGGCCAGGGAACACTGGGGAAGAGTGAGGAAGGAAACAAGCATTTATTAAGTGCTTACTATATGCTGGACAATGTCAAATGTCATCTCATTTGATCCTCACAACACCCTGCAAGGTAGGTGCTGTGATTATCCTTATTTTACAGTTGAGGAAACTGAGGCAGACAGAGGTGAAGTGACTTGCCCAGGGCCACATAGCTAGTAAGTCCGTGAGGCTGGATTTGAACTCCCGTCTTTGTGACTCCAAGCCCAGCATTCTATCTACTGTGATATCTGCCTAGGGGCACCCTTAGGGAGCTGATGGAGCTGCTCCTGCAGGAACTCTCACTCAGGCTGGTGGTGTTATTTTGCTGCTCATCAGGCTTGCTCTCTGCTGGCATTATGGTCTTGGCCTGATGCCACTCTGTTGTGGATGATGCTTGGCCAGATGTGTGGCCTCCACCAAACTCAGCTCAGCTGGACACTGTTTGGCGATCCTTGGAGTCTCTGCTAGACACTTCTCTGTGGGATGCTGTTTCAATGGCTGCCTCTCCACTGGGCATGGCTCCATTGAACGCTGCTTCTGGCTCAGCTGAAAGAAATCCTTGGCTGTCTTCTACTGGAGGGAAAAGTGGGCACTGCCATCCTCTTGTAGCTTTAAACCTCTAGGCATTTTCATGTTACAGCTATTTTACATAAGTGACAAATCGGTGCCCTAGACCAGCAAATACATTTCCCCATAGTGGAAAAAAAAACCCAATTTCTTAGCTTTTTTCCCCAATGAAGTAAATTACCTTGTTTCCCTCAAAGTCTTGGCTCTAGGTCTCTTGTCTCTTCAGCAAGAGATTGTCAACCCTAGGCGCCAAGCGCTTTAGAACAAAGAACAGAGGTCCTCTTAGCTCAGTCCATGGTGCCTTAAGGATCCTTTCTCTTTTTTTTTTCTTTTGGACTAAACTTTGTGGTCACTAGGTTCGAGTTCTTTTTGGGCAGCTTCAATTGAGCTCATGGTGAGTATTTCTATGACTCTCAGTATTACTCTGTCTAAGCTCAATTATGAGCCTTGTTAAGGCCTGTTCACCTAAAACACTACCAAATAGCTGTGGGATTTGGGGATCCTTAATTTTTGTACCTTAAACCTGTTCTGCTCTCCCATGCAGATGAGTAGGTGGGGGGAAAGCACAGAGAGAAAGCAAACGCTCAGAGGAGCAAGGTCATCATCCTTTCAGCTGGCCTCCCTTTTTCCTAGCCCTTTCACAGGCAAATGCAATCAGCCCAAATCTGAACAGTGCTTTAGTCACCACTTTATACAGCAATCTAGAGACCGGGCTGATGAAGGCTGTATTTTCCCTGTTTGCTTCCATCATAGGAATCTGCTAGTGCCCACTGTATAGACCCAACACTAACAACCATTGATTTCTTCAGTGTTCTTCTACCTTATATAACCCACCCACCCATATACTCTCAGATCTATTGACACTGACCTTTTTGCTTTTCCTCAAACAAGGCATTCCATCTCCAAACTTGGGACATTTCCTCTGGCTCTCCACCATGCCTGGAATTTTCTCCCTTCCTATCTCCACCTCCTGGCTTCCTTTAAGTCCCAGCTAAAATCCCACCTTTCCCGATCTCCCTTAATTCTAGTGTATTGTTTACCCCAAGAATATGAAGACTTCACCCGGCAGAGTAGGCAGATGAGGACAATCTGTTCCAACGGCCATGAAGGCAGCTGAAGTAAGCTCTGTGGAGTGCTTAGAGCTTGATCAGATATCGAAAATGCCAACATCATCCACCGCATCTTGACTTTTGTCCTGCCACTGAACTATGGGGTTAGAAAGTTAGGTACTGACTAAAATATGGAGAAAGATGAAGCAGGAGATATATACAGTGTTAGCTGTTTAAAATTGCGGGACATTCCAAAGTCCAAAGAGATAATTGTTAAGGGAGTCATATGGAAACTAGTTATTGTAACAATTGGGTAATTGGATATTGATGGCATTCCTCCATTAGACCTTTTAAACATCATCTTCAGTCCATCCCTCTCTCACCATGATGTCTGTAAACTGGTTTATCAGGTACTGGTCAACACTAAGGAGTTTAATAAAAAGTTTCCAGTGAATCTAACTTTCTAACAAAACTTCCACATCATGCTGTAAATATCACTATCACGGTCAACAGGAACCCCCAAAACCACCCAACCATGATGAGGGTCAAGTACTGCTACTGTGTCCCCATTCTTTAATGCCTGAATAGCCATGTCTACTATTCTGTGTGATGTACAATGACAGGTGTACAATGTCACTTCATATACACAATTATAAGTCCACTTCAACACAATTATATTTCACTTCACCAAAGCTGTTTCCACATTGTAGACAATGTCACTCAATAAACAGAAGAAAGCAATGACATTTTTATACACAATGAAACAATGGTGACCTGAATCAACTTGCCTGACCTGTATTAGAATCTTCACTGGAAAACTTGCTGTCAAATTATAGTCTGGCAGGGCAAGAACCCTAAACTCTTCAATGCTGCCAGTGGCGAATATGTTACTAATCAAACCTACTACCTACCATAGGATGGTAAAGCTATTGGTATAAATAATTTAAACTGAAATATAAATGTAGCCTAGACAAAGAAAAAATAAATTTCTTAATGTTATAGCACTGACTTAATACACCATAGCTTTAACAAACTCATAGATATCCTGGGCAAGCCCCCACAAAATGTTAACAACTGATCCCCTGGAAACTCTGAGCA